TTGCTTCTGTGAAGACTGACAGCCTTGGAGACCCTGTGGGCAGTTCCACTCTGTCCTCTAGGGGCGCTGTGGGTCAGAATGGACTCCACAGCAGTGGGTGTGGTTTGGGCTTTGCTTCTGTGAAGACTGATAGCCTTGGAGACCCTGTGGGCAGTTCCACTCTGTCCTCTAGGGGCACTGTGAATCAGAGTCAGCTGGACTGCCGTAGGGTTGGTTTTTAGTTTAGATGGATCCAGGGTGCTGACATCCTCATTTTTGTTTAGGGAAATTCAGAATGAGGAGCTGAGCAAGTTCTGCTCCCGGGTTACGAAGCTGCTGCAGAAGGACCCAGGGGCCGAGGCTGTCGATGCCTTGCGGAGGCTTTTCCTCATCATCTCAGCCACGAAGTATGGCAGGAAGTGAGTGAGGGCCTGTGCTGTCAGCGGGTGATGCAGGCAGGGCAGGGATGGAGGGTGCCGATGAGCACCTGCAGATCACTGGCCGCAGCCGTTCCTTTGACATGAGTCCGGTAGCTGTTAGCGACTATAGAGTTGCCTCCGGCTCACGGTGACCCTGTGCACAGAGGAACGAAGCACCGCCTGTGCCACGCCAGCCCCGTGGTTGTTTGCACGTTGGACCGTTGGGATTGTAGGGTTTCACTGGCCGGTTTTTAGAAGCTGATGGCCGGACCATTCTTCCTAACCCCTCCTGGTCTGGAAACTCTGAGGGAATCAGCCAAGCATCCCAGCGACACGCCAGCCTCTGCTGCCAGCCGGTGGTGGCTGCACATGGGGTGCGCTGGCTGGGGTGCACAGGCAGCGAGACTCTGCCACCCGCCCCTCCTAAACAGGGGTGGATGGGCCTGAAGCACCCAAGATGCTCCATCCGCCTGGAGCGACCCAGTGGCTTCTCTGCCAGGGGTGGGTGCTGTGCCCTGGGGGTAATGTGAGTATGGCTGCCCGTGGGCTCTCGTTCCAGGCTGGAGAAGCCCTGCGTGGACCTGCTGCAGACCACCCTCTGCTCGCCCACGTGCCCCCAGCAGCTCCAGCTCCTCTGTGCTGCCATCCTGCGGGAGATGGCCCCATCCGAGGGCCTGGCACTGGCCTGTGAGCACACCCAGAGCGGCCGCGCACTCAGCCTGACAGCCTCTGTCCTTCTGGCCCAGGTAGCCCTGTGCCTCCCTTCACAGCACTCCTCAGGGGCACGCGGCTATAACCTGCTGCAGTGGGCGTCTGATCAAGGCTCACCCCTCCTGCCTCTGCATGGGGTTGCTTGCAGCTCCCGCCAAGCCCCCGCAGTCACCCGCTTTATGCGCTCGCGCCTGGCTTCGTGTGACAAGGCGGCCAGGCAGTTCTGTTCCTTTTGCCTCCCGGAAGTGGCCCTTTCGTCCCAGGGACTCTAACTTCTTCCGAGTCAGGGCCTCAGCTCCAGGGCTGCTTGTGGCCCAGTGGCCCACTGTCACGTCTTGGGCCTAGTCAGTGGTCAGGTCTTGGTGACGGTAGCCACGTGGGACAGAGTAGAACCACCCCATAGGGTCCCCCAGCCTGTTGTGTTTACAGGAGCAGGTCACCCGTTCTGTCTGCTATGGAGCTGATGGGTAGGTTCGATCAGCCAGCCTCTTGGTTAGCAGCAAGGCGCTTAATGATTGCACCACTGGGGCTTCTTGTGGATGAAGCTGAGTGTGAGTGTCTAGATAGATCAGAGGGTGCGTGTACAGATAACCACCATTCGTCTGTCCCATGTCATACTACGGTCTGACTCATAGCAACCCCATGTGTGACAGAACCAAGCACTGCCTGGTCCTGCACCATCCTCACAGTATTTGCTGTGCTTGAGCCCATCGTTGCAGCCACGGTGTCATCCATCTCACTGAAGGTCTCTTCCCCTTTTTTGCCAACCCTCTACTTTATCAAGCGTGATGTCTTTTTCCAGGGACTGGTCCCTTCTGACAACACGATCAAAGTAGGTAAGACGATGTCTGGCCATTGTTGCTTCTAAGGAGCATTCTGGCTGCACTTCCTCCAGGAAAGATCTGTTGGTCCTTCTAGCAATTTATATATAGAAGTGTGTAGGTACATAGCGTACATACAGGGCCGGTGGCTGGAGCGGGTAAGGCAGGCAGGGGAGACCCCGAGGTGGCAGGGAGCAGTGGCAGACAGGGCCGACAAGAACAGGCGGGGGTAGCCCAGGAAGTGAGTAGAGCAGTTGGAACACCTAAGGGAGACGAACTTGTCTGTCAGTCTGTCGCACTATGGTGGATTGCATGTCACTGTGAGGCTGGAGGCTGTGCCAGCAGGGGTGCCCATAGTGGACCAGCTTCGGTGGAGCTTCTCAGAAGGAGAAAGAGGCCTTCCACTTCTCAAAGAATTGGCCAGTGAAACCCTTATGAATAGTGGTGAACCACTGTCTGATATATTACTGGAAAATTTTATGAGTAGCCCTGAAACACTGTCCGATACAGTGCTGGAAGATGAGCCCCTCAGGTTGGAAGGCACTCAAAGCATGACTGGGAGAGAGCTGCCTCATCAGAGTAGAGCCGACCTTAATGACATGGATAAAGTAGAGCTTTCGGGGCCTCCATTTGCTGAAGTGGCACGACTCAATATGAGAAGAAACAGCTGCAAACATCCATTGATAGTTGGAACATAGAATGTATGAAGTATGAATCTAGGAGAATTGGAAGTTGTCAAAAATAAAGTGGAACACATAAAGATTGATATCCTAGACATCAGTGAGCTGAAATGGACCGGCTTTGGCTATTTTGAATCAGACAACCATATGATCTACTAAGCCAGGAATGACAAATCGAAGAAGAATAGCATTCATTGTCACAAAGAATGTTTCAAGATCTATTCTGAAGTACTTTGCTGTCAGTGATAGAATAATATCCATACACCTACAAGGAAAGCCAGTTAATATTACTGTTACTCAAATTTACACATGAACCACCAAAGCCAAAGATGAGGAAATTGAAGATTTTTACCAACTTCTGGAGTCTGACATTGACCAAACATGCAATCAAGGTGTGCTGATTATCATTGGTGACTGGAATGCAAAAGTTGGAAACAGAAGGATCACCGGTAGTTGGAAAATTTGGCCTTGGAGATAGAGATAATGCTGGACATCGCATGATAGAATTTTGCAAGACCAATGATTTATTCATTGCAAATACCTTTTTTCAACAACACAGACAGTGGCCATACACACGGACTTCACCAGGTGGAGTACACAGGAATCAGATTGACTACATCTATGCAAAAAAGCAATGGAGAAACTCAGTATCTTCAGCCAAAACAAGGCCAAGAGCTGATTATGGAACCAGCCATGAACTGCTCACATGCAAGTTCACGTTGAAGCTGAAGAAAATTAAAACAAGTCCACGAGAGCCAAAGTATGACCTTGATTATATCCCACATGAATTTAGAGACCATCTGAAGAATAGAGTTGACACATTGAACACTAATGACCAAAAACCGGAGGAGTTGTAGGATGACATCAAGAACATCAACGTAAAGAAAGCAGAAGTTCATTTAAAAGACAGGAAAGGAAGAGAAGACCAAAACGGATGTTAGAAGAGACTCTGAAACTTGCTCTTGAACAGAGAGTAGCTAAAGCAAATGGAAGGAATGCATGGATATACATAGGAGCTGCAAAAAGTGCAGGAAGGCCACATCTCCCGACCTCCTCTAACCCCACAAGAGGAAGGCTGAATCACCATCAATAGCCCAAGGCCTATTCCTGCAAGGCCAGACATGCTGCTCCCTCCAGCCCTTTCACCAACTGTTCCTCCCAAAGTACCACCACCTCTCTTCTGGGTTCGATAATTCGCTGCAGTGGCCACACAGAACTCATAGATGGTGGGGTTTATTAGGGAAGCATCAGACTACAATTCAAGTTCAGGAAAAACACTCAGTCTCTCTCCCAGCCCACTGTCTCTCAGCCAAGTCTCTCACTGTCTCTCTCCCAGCAGTGCATGTCCCTTGGTGTCTTACTTAGCAACGTGTGTCTCTTGCGTCTCTTTCCCAGCAGCACATGTCTCTTTCAGCAGCACGTCTTCCTCAACCAGTAGTCAGAGAGAGTTCTGCTTCTAGGAGGCCTCCTTTTGAGCTTGGCAGAGTGGCCAAACCAACCAATCATAACAACAGAATTCTAAGCACCTGTGACTGAGCCTCCCATAACATTACATTGTGCCACGCCCAACAGAAATAACCCAGGTGGATAACATTTACAATCAGGAGCTCCTCAGTTGCTCATTCCACCACTGAGTTTACAGTGACTTATGGGTAGAAAAGCCATACTAAGTAATTTACTACACTGCAGGAGCATAGTGTATGTGCGAGTATGTGTGTGTGTGTATATAGGAGCATATACACATGGAGACCCCTGGAACACAGTGGTTAAAGCTCAACTGCCAACCAAAGGGCAGCTATTTGAACCCACCAGTCCCTCCACCAGGAAAAGATGAGGCAAGCAGTTGGCTTCTGTTAAGACTGACAATCTAGGAAACCCTGTGGGCAGTTCCACTCTGTCCTCTAGGGGCGCTGTGGGTCAGAATGGACTCCACGGCAGTGGGTGTGGTTTGGGCTTTGCTTCTGTGAAGACTGACAGCCTTGGAGACTCTGTGGGCAGTTCCCCTCTGTCCTCTAGGGGTGCTGTGGGTCAGAATGGACTCCACGGTAGTGGGTGTGGTTTGGGCTTTGCTTCTGTGAAGACTGACAGCCTTGGAGACTCTGTGGGCAGTTCCCCTCTGTCCTCTAGGGGTGCTGTGGGTCAGAATGGACTCCACGGTAGTGGGTGTGGTTTGGGCTTTGCTTCTGTGAAGACTGACAGCCTTGGAGACCCTGTGGGCAGTTCCACTCTGTCCTCTAGGGGCGCTGTGGGTCAGAACCAACTCCGTGGCAGTGGGTGTTTCTTGTATACATATATATAGGAATACGTATGTGTAAAAAGAAGAAAAAACCATATCTACGTAATTTCAGACCAGACCCACCGTCATTGTGTCTACAAACGCGTATGTATGTTCATAGTAGTATGTATGTGCACTGGAGCCTGTGTGTGCGTGTGGGCCTATGCGTGCACAAAAGCCTGTGAGCGTGTGGAAGTGTGCGTGCGCGGGGGCCTGTGCACACGTGGAGGCTCGTGTGGGAGCGTGTGTGCATGCACGGGGGCCTGTGTGCTGGGAGTGTGTGTGTGGCTATGTTTACATGCATTATGTCCTGAATTTCCTGTGCTGCACTGATTTGAGCTTGGGCCCCTCCAGTGTCTCCTGATCCCTCCCTCACATCCATACCTCTTTCCATGCTAAGTCCTGGTCCACCAGCACACCTACCCCAGTCCACAGGTACCTGCCTGGATGTTGGTGACAGTGGTCGCATCCACCCGGGCCCTGCCTCCTGTGTTGAGGCCCCTTGGTGCTGCTAGAGGAACTTTAAGGCCGTGTCTCTGTGGGGTCATGCCATTGGCTTTAAAAGGCCAATGCCTTTTAAACCCCTGCTTAGTGTAAGGAAAGCGGTGTGGTGTTTGTGCCCTCAAGTCAGTTCTGACTCAAGGTGACCCCACGTGACACAGAGTAAACTGCCCTCTGAGGTTTCCTTGGCTGCCGTCCAACAGGAGCTGGTTGCCAGGCCTTGCCTCCCTGGTGCTGCTGGGTGGGTTAGACCTTTATGCCAGCAGCCAGTGCAAAGTCACCGCTCAGCTTTAAGGACAAACCAATAATACAAAACCTCGGCTCTGCAAGTTGGCTGGCGCTGGTGGCACCCAACACGTGCTTCCTGCCATTTGGTCGTGCGGGGACTGCCTGGTGGGGAAGGCACTTGCCTGGTGATGTGGAGTGCCAGCAGGGTGTGTTAGGCCAGTCCTGTTCTGGCGGGGCCCCTCTTGCCTCTCACCCCCAGGCAGGTGTGGGGGGAACTGCCTCCCCAGTGAGTGCCAGGGCTAAGGCACGGCATGGTCGGGGGCCCCCGTCACACACCTTCCTGTGTGTGTGGGCCCCCAATCCCCAAGGGCCTCAAGAACTGGAGGTCCTCGTGGGGCACTGAGCCCACCTTGCCCACGTCTGTCTTGAAGGGCGACAGGCGGGATGAGGTCCGCAGTGTGGGACGGCGTGCCCTGCAGCTCCTGGAGGCCCGGCAGCCCGAGGGGCCCCTCCTACCCATGCTGTCGAAGGTGGTCAGCCTTGCACCAGGTGCCCTGCCTAAAGGTGTGTGGTCTCCACCCAGGGGTCAGAGTGGGGGTCCTCTCTGCTTGGCTCTGTTTTGCAGCTGAGCCAGTCAGGACGGAGAAGGACCTGAGTGGGGCAGGGAAGGAGCGGGTGGGCCTGGACGCGTCCCTGCCTGTGGCTCCCACCTCACAAGCAGCCCCCGAGTCGGGAGTGCTGGGGCAGTGCCAGGCCCTCCAGGGGTAGCTGGGCACTGGTTTTAGTTGCGTGGTGGCAACAGATACAGATGGAACTTCTGAGTCTGCAGTGCCCTGGCATGAAGGGACGGGCACCGTGTTATGCCGCCACCATCAGTCCCCAAGTACCCCGTCCCCTACACACAGTGGGAGTCGAGGAGGTGTGGCCATGTCACCAGCAGCCCAGATGTGCTCTGGCATGTCTGACTTGTGCCCCATGTCATTCTCTCTCCCATGTCACTCCCACGCTGCCCCCCCCCACATCTCCGTATCACCTCTGCCTGACAAAACCTCTGTGTTCTTCTCATTATCCATCCCCC